TTACCCACTCCACAGTGCTCGATAAGGTGATTCTCTCACAAGCTCGCCAACCCGGCAAGTGGGTAAGTCCATCTTGGGTTTTCCCTTTCTTCTCACATTTGTCTTGTATTATGTATATAAGCCATGTACCATAGTTGATGGCACTTCAGTGCAAAATCGATGACTAGATCCCCCAAGAGCTCATCCCCCCCCCGTTCTGAAGTTAAGGACCCAACACTAGCGTTACTGAACGTTGGCACAGCGCTCCCCTCCAAGTTGCTGAGGCCACAGTCCCTCTGCTCATCCTCTACATCTGGCCTCCCTTCCAGGGAAAGGTCTAGACATGCTCGTTCCCTCTTTGCCATGTCTGACACATGGAACTACTAGAAAGGCTGCTTCACAGCCATGACCTTGCTATCCGATCACATGAACACTGCTAGGCTCACAAGCTCAAGATGATGTGGTTTGGCATTTGGTTCCTGATTCAAGGGGTGTTGATTCAGCCATTGTCGAACCCTCGGTTGGAGGGGAGGGTGGCAGGCTGCACAACTGCTGTATTTTCGGACACCATTTCATATGTACTTATGCTACATCTATGAAGAGAATTGACGCTTGTGCCATCTGCAATTTCTTCCATGGTAATTTGTCTTGTACAACACATTAAGTGGAAGATTGTGTCCCAATTCCTCTAATCAAGTACAGGATTCAAAAAATCAACTCCCCTTGTGCTGATTTTACTTTTGGTTTTTCTTGAGTTGGCCAAATTCAATTGTTCAAGCAAGTGATAGAGCGGAACTGACCGAATTTATTGTGTGTGAAATAATATTGGGGCATGTGATCAAAATGTCAGAATTCCCACAAAATCAGCGTCAGAATTCTCACGAATTGTGACCATGCAAGTGACCTTGGAAGCAAGGTAACTGGGATTCCTTGCCTTGCGAGGATGCAAAGGCCCCCAGTTCAACAAAGTCCATTTGGACTGCTTAATTCATGGACTAGGGGGACCTGCATTTGACCTTGGAATAAGACTCCGAGATGAAACTCTCCTCAGAGGAGATGAGGGCATGTTCCTCAAAGTTCTCAACATATAGATGAGAACTTTCATAAAAGCATCTGCCACATTAAACGCAACAAAGAAGTACCACAACATAAAATATGAGGCAGGCAAAGGTTTAAAACAGTTCTATTTAGAACTGTCAAAAGCAGCATCCCAAATGGTGATGCCACCAGACCAGGCGTCCTTCAACACTAGGTTCCTAAACAACATTCCCCTTGAATGGAAGAGGGAAATGATCACTCATGACAGAATTAGAGTGGACTTCTCCTCAAATGAGGAGATGATAAGAGCAATATCTTGTGTAGATGAGATAATCAATGGGCTGAAGATGTCTTCACCATACAAATTGGGATATTCATCAGCAAAAAATTGTTATGCTCCTGAGTGCTCCAGAGTATGGGGAGCACTGGGAGAATCAGGAGGAGATTGGCCGGTCCAGGAACAGCTCATTTCCTCTGGAGTTGGTCAGGTACTCCAGGGCACTCCCAGGAGGGCATGGAGCATTGCTTTGTGCACAAACATATCCAGTAAATACAATTTAATGCTTCAAAATGTATAGGGGTGAGAAGCTTCTGGGAGCTCCTGGAGCATTTGAAAATGAAAAGGAAAAAAAGAGAGAAGACTCCCCATGAATACTTCCTACCACAAGACTAACACAACAAGACACTACTTAACATTTAGGTCAAACACTATACTATACATCAAGGACACTGAAACTCACCAATACACAATCAAAATTTATGGCCTGATATATGATTAATCTGGCAACTTAATCACTTTCGGACTTGCAGAATATGGAGGAAGGGGAAATGGGGGAGAATGAGGGGGGAAATGAGGGGGAGAATGAGGGGGAAATGAGGGGGAGAATGAGGGGGAGAATGAGGGGGAGAATGAGGGGGGAATATAGAGGGAAATGAGGAAAATTTGAAAAATAGGGACTTCTAAAAAATTGAAAAAATAATTAGGGAAAAAATCAAAGAAAATTCAGGAACTGTAGTGCCTTTGAAGTGCTTTCAGGATATATAATTATTTGCGAAATTGAGGAAGAAATGATGGAGAAAAATGGAAAATACTTTCGGAGACCCGAGAAATAATGAGAACTGAATTGATGGGAAAGTCTGAAAATTGAATAGGAAGTGAGGGGAAGCCTTGTGTAGCATTGTTATTTTCTGCTGTTCTAATTTTTCCTGATTCTTCTTGGTCTCACTCCCAGCTGCTCCTGGATACTCCTGGATACTCCTGGAAGCTCCTGGGAGGGTCCAGGAGCAGCTAATGGAAAATACTTTCGGGGACCCAAGAAATAATGAGAACTGAATTGATGGGAAAGTTTGAAAATTGAATAGGAAAGTGAGGGGAAGCCTTGTAGCATTGTTATTTTCTGCTGTTGTGATTTTTCCTGATTCTTCTTGGTCTCATTCCCAGCTGCTCCTCAATACTCCTGGAAGCTCCTGAAAGCTCCTGGGAGGGTCCAGGAGCAGCTGGGAGTGAGACCAAGAACAATCAGGAAAAATCACAACAGCAGAAAATAACAATGCTACAAGGCTTCCCCTCACTTTCCTATTCAATTTTCAGACTTTCCCATCAATTCAGTTCTCATTACTTCTCGGGTCTCCAAAAGTATTTTCCATTTTTCTCCATCATTTCTTCCTCAATTTCACAAATAATTATATGTCCTGAAAGCACTTTAAAGGCACTATAGTTCCTGAATTTTTTTGATTTTTTTCCCTAAATTTTTTTTTTTCAACTTTTTAGAGACCAAAATTTTCCTCCCACTGCTCCTGGCACATTGCATACTCCTCACCACTCCCAGCTGCTCCTGAACCCCCTCCCAGGAGAACACTATTGGCTCCAGGAGTGCCCAATCTGCTGTTTTGTCTCCCACATGCTCCAGCCACTCCTGATGCTCCAGAGCATAACGGACTTTTGCTGATGTTACACCCAAACAACCACCATGGCAACCACAAGCCATGGTAGAACCCTCCCATTTGGGAAGAGGGCTGAGGAGCCCAAACCCAGATGGAAAGAGGACTCATCCTAGAAATATTCGAGGAAAACTGACCAAGAATCAGTTTTAATTTGTGGCAAGTGTGGCAAATTAGGGCAAATAAAGATTGCCCTAAACATCACACAATAAGCGATGAGAAACCAAGGCACATAGCTGCCATGGAAGTTGCCCAGTTATCAGAAGAAGAGTTGGAGGACTCATCGGAAGATAAACCAGAGAAGAACTCTGGTGACTCTGAAGCATCAAGCTTTGAAGTTGAGGACCCATACAAGGGACCTCAATACTCACCCGATTCAGAGGGTGAAGTCAACATTGGGACCATAAGAATGGGCCCAATGTCAGTTGTTGACCAAGATGACCCAACTATAAAGTCAAACTGGCAGTAACATGCCAGTTAGAAGAATCTGCAGACAAGGAAGTTGCAGAGGCTTTGGTGGAAACACCAAAGAAGGACACCTTGGGAACCTATACGAAGGAACCCAAGAAGAATGGAAGAAGGACCAGAAGTCCAACGAAACCCAAACCCCCTTATTCAATGCAAAATTCTGCATCTCCAAAGGTGCAGGGAAATATCCCATGAACAGACCGCTCTCTACTAAGAGAATGTTGATGGCCCACATCAAAATAGCAGGCATAAAAGCCTACGTGCTGTTCAACAGCAGGGCCGAAACAGATGCGATATCGCTGGATTTTGTCCATGCGGTCCATATCCCAATTCTCCAGTTGGAGAATCTGGTTGTCCTCCAAATGGGGATGAAAGGAACAAGATCAAAAATCTTGTTTGGAATGAATGTGGGCGTTGAGATCAACAACCACATTGAGAACCATTACTTCAATGTCATCAACATCGACAGATACAACACCATATTTGGTGCCCCCTGGTTGAATAAAAACCAGGTAAACTTAGACTTCCGATCTCACAAAGTGAGAATGGCATCCAAGGGCAACATAGACACCCTTGGAGTCAGAGAAGACTGTGTGACGAGATTGCACAGGTGGAAAACTTGAGCAAGGACTCGAGAACTGCCAAGAAAAAAGCCCCCCAGCTGGGAGGCGAGAAAGAAACACACCTCAGGGTAATCCAAAAGAGGTACCCTGAAGGTTGGCCCAATCCAGTCCAGAAGGACTAGAACTTCCAGCATACCACATCTGCATCTGGAAGGACTCTCCATGACTAGCCCTGAGTTCAAAATACTCAGGGAATGGTGGAGGGAAAAGTTTGAAACTGTAATGGCACCAGCGCCATTGGAGATGCTTCCCCTGAGGGAGGTTAACCATCGGATCCCATTAAAGGATCCAAATAAGAAATTTCAGGAAAATACCCCGAGATGCCCTGCAGCACTGCAGGAAGCACTAGCGACAAAAATAGATTGCTATGTAAAAGCAGGATGGTGGTATCCTGCAAGCAGCAAGCAAGTGTGCCTGCTACTGTGCATCTGAAAAGCAAATGGATCTTTGCACACAGTAATTGATGCAAGAAACATGACTCTCAACATCACTCCAATGCCAGACATGTGACTGATCCAAGAATCAGTCACCAGAGCAACATACCAATCCAAGATCAATATGTTGGATGTGTATGAACAGATACATGTGGATCCAGACGATGTTCTCTACCCCCTATGGGATGTACAACTCCAAAACGATGCAGCAAGGAGACTGCAACACTCCCTGTACTTTCCAGCATGTGTTGACCTGGGAACTACGAGGGGAAATAGGCAGATGTCTACACATCTGGTTTGATGATATCTTCACCAGCACAAGCTTGGTGAAGAACCACAATAAAGCACTATTGTGGTTATTAACTCGCCTCGAGGGGGTAAAGTTCTACATAAGCCGGAAGAAATTCCAGCTGTTTGCTCCAATCCTAGATGTTCTAAGACTGGCGACATGCACAAGTCATCACTTTACGGATGCAAACTATTCCAGAATGAACTAACCCTCTCACTTTGGACACAACTTGATCTAGCAAATGCTACAGCCTGAACTATGTAGAGTACACAGTAAAGAAGACATTCCCGGTTTCTAAAATTTGATATTTGTACTCAGTGAGAAGTGAGAGGAGCTTTTTTGTTTTGTGCCCGGAAGTGGTTCTTCTTTCAATGCTTGTCACTTGGGAACTGCAACTGAAAATTTGGTAGTAAAATTTTGGCATGCATGGAATGGCGAAATCAATTCATTCGGAATTTGCCGAGGCCAAAGTGGGAAAGCACGTAAGCGCCCACACCCTTTCCCCTCCAACATTGCACATTATGCCTCTAGGGGAAAAGCGTAAGCGAGCAAATAACCTTGGAAAGTACTCTCAGAAGGTAAGGTTCACCATATATTGTTATTGGGTCATGATTCATTACTTTTGTTTCTTTACTAGAAATTACATGTAGACCCATCTCCGACTACAGAGTCAATCCACACAATCCCCCTAGAGCACACACAGACTGTTGGGGATGATGTACTTCCGGATTGGCCTGATGCTAATGTCAATTCCAACTCATATGATGGTGCAAACAGTGATGCAGACAGCGACACAGACCTTGATGAAACAATCAACCCAGCAATATCCTCAAAGAATGCATTTTCCCAGTGCCTACACGATACTGAGGAACAGCTTGCTCAGTTAGCCAATATCCGGGGAAAAATCCCGGGCAACAAAGTCACATATGCTGGGACCACCATAAACGGTGTACGCTCAGAGCGCAGCCGGTACTGCGATGCAGCAATCAAGAGGACTATTAGTGGGAGGATCCAGGAGATGTGAAAAAGGACAAGGATTGACAGGAAGAAACGCACAATCCTTGATTTTTTCAACCCTCCTCCAACTTCTGGCAAGGAATCTGGGCAGGCCGTTCTCTCAGCCCTCCTGAACAACTTGAGCACAAACTCTAGTGGGAGGAACAGTGCTATAACACAGATAGATCTCACCCAAGGAGAGGAGGAAAAAGAGACCTGCAGCTCTGAGGCTGCTGAGAGCAATGTGTTTGTTGCTGAGATGGAGATGCGCGATATCTCCCCTGATGACCAACAGTCAGAGTCCACCTGGAGCCCCACCCACAGCCCAGCAGCCACTCCCTTGAGTGTCCTAAACCAGTTTTCAGTGACCCACAACAATACCCCGGAAAAAATTGATGACGCACTGCCGGAGCCACATATTCCACCAGTATCTCCAGTCATAGCCCAGGGAAGGCCTCTTGGAACAGAGGAAGAACCCTCAAAGGCTCATTTTCATTCACGGCCCTATGTTCCCCCACCCAAGAAGAAAGATGCTGCTGAGGCCGTGCACGTGCTTGATGAAATCCTGAAGCCGCCCCGGAAAACAGGAAGGGGTTACAAGAGTGTTGATATCAACCTCATGGTGCAAGTGCGAGTCCAGCAGATGGCTCAGCTCCTTCATCTGTATGGTTCTTCAGTCAATAATGGAGATGCTGGCTGGATTGGGGCATCACTGACGGTTGCGAAGGTGTGGAATCGTGGGAATTCTTATGCTGCGTGTCTACGGAGCTGGTGCCGGACTTTTCTCCTTGATAAATCATTACCAGAGAACCCATATGGCCACTGGGGATCATCAGTTCTGGTGACAGATGAAGATTTGAAAGCAGAACTGGAAACTCACCTTCATGGGCTTGGCCCATATATCTCTGCATCAGACATTGTGGAGTTCCTCAACACTCCGGAGATGAAAGAACGCATGGAATGTGAAAAACCTATCTCTCTACGCACTGCACAGAGGTGGCTACACATAATGGGATACCAGTGGCGCAAGGAGAAGAAGGGCCAGTATTCTGATGGCCACGAGTGTGAAGATGTTGTCAACTATTGGCAGACAGTGTTTCTGCCTGCAATGGCTGAATATGCGAAGTCAACAAGGAAGTGGGACATGAATGGGGAAGAGGAACTACCTGAATCACCACCAGAACAACACACTGTTCTTTGGTTTCATGAGGAATCAATCTTTTATGCACATGATCGCCGCAGGGTTCGCTGGGTACACAACTCGGAGACCCCTAAACCTTATCCAAAGGGTGAAGGGGCTTCTCTGATGGTTTCCGATTTTGTTTCAGCTGACTATGGGGGGATGGCTGTGATGCGTGTGTGATTCTCAAGCCAGAAAAGAACTGAGATGGTTACTTTACAAACGAGGATATTCTTGAACAAGCTTCATGTGTGATGGAAATCCTGCAACAGAAATATCCAAATGACAAGCATGTCCTTGTCTTTGACAATGCCCGAACACATGCAAAATGTGCAGAGGATTCTCTATCAGCTGTTAAAATGCCGAAATTTCCAAAGGATTGGGGTGTTGCTGTTGTTGCACGTGACGAGAATGGGCGGATTATCTATCGGGCAGATGGAAAACTATCAGGGCACGGCCTAACCGGCTACCTTGACTCCCTATGCCGGAAGGGAGTTGCCATAAGACGATCCGGAGTGATGTGAAGAACACAGGTAATCTCGCTTAGCTCTCGCTTGGCTCCCACTTCCTTTCTTCCGTCCACATGTCACCCCCTTCCCATGCCTTGCTTACGATTATCCGAATGAATACTTATCTTTTCATGTCGTCATTCTATCGGCTATCTCTTATCTCATTGTAGCCACGCTCTAGTGGGTAGCGGTACCCGTGTATATAACTTCTATCTTTGCTGAGGGTGGCGCCTCAGTGTTAACAACGACTAGGATTCTCGGGAACACCCTTATCGTCGTGAACTGACACGCAGTCCCTGACAAAAACCACACATGATCAAGAAGCGCATGGCTGATACCATATTTAATGGCCAACCCCAACATCTCTACTATCCTGACAACCACCCAACTCACCCAGGACTGTCCAAGGGGATGGCAAAACTCTTGGAGGAACGTGGTTATCATAATGCATCCTCTCTTCCGGCAGTGTGCAAAGGGTTCAAGTGCCGAGGGAATGATGCACAGTGTTGCTGCCAGAACATTCTATTTCACCAGCCCGATTTCATCAACGTAGATTGCCTTCTTACATCTCATTGCAGGGCTAACGCCATTGATGTTCTCTTCCTCCCAAGATTTCACTGTGAGTTAAATTTCATTGAACAGGTCTGGGGACTCTCAAAGCGGGTCTACCGAGAATATCCACCCTCTTCAAAGATTGAGGATGTTGAGGCAAATGCGATAAGCTCACTGGCCTCTGTGACCATCCAGTCAATGAGAAGGTGAGTTTTCTCATTATGGATTTCCTCATCTTTTCCATTTTTTTCTTTCAGGTTCGCAAACCGATCACTAAGATACATGGATGGATACCGGCATGGGTTAAATGGTTGTGAGGCATCTTGGGCAGTCCGAAAATACCATAGCCACCGCCAGATACCACCAGAAGCGACACGGGAGATAATTCAGGAACATATGAAATCAAAGTAGAATCACAAATGCGATGCCGCCACTTCAATATTATGAACTCCGTTAACTTTGGCAGCACGTGACACGTACAGCCACATTCGGCTATTCCCGGGAAAGTAATTACTTGTGCATGTCGCCAGTCTTAGGAAGCCATGTGTAAGGGGTTGGTGTAGGTGCCAACCCTGGTCAGCCTAGTTCCTCAGGCTGTCAACAAAACTAACTTGTATAAAGTTATTATTGCAACAGTAGTGGGAGGAAAAGGCTTCCTTGCTCTTTCTTCTTTCCCATACTGGTCAGGAATGTGTCAGACACATATCTGGATGATCTGCAAGGCATGCAAAGTCATCTGGGCTTGTAAGGTCGGAGGGGTGGGACTTCAGCTTCAGTGACTCGGGTGGAGTGCTGCACTTCATTCTTACATTGGTGTCCCAATTCAGACAGGAGTCTTACAATGTAGAGAAGAGACAAGGGGGGGGGGGGGAATCCAAGTCAATATATGAACTGAGGTACATCTGGTGTAACCTACATGCATTATAAGCACAACTAACTAAATAGGACCGGCCCAGAAGGAGTGGCAGATCAAGTGCAATATTAATGAATGAAGAAATAGACAAATGGTTAATATCGGCAAACTTTGCCAACAAAAGGAAATAAAGAAACAAGGAGTGGCAAAGGGAGAACAATAGTCCACAAGTGGACAAAAGAGAGAAAAGGCCATCCACTCAAATGGGCAACCTTGGTTGGAAGGTACGCACATGGGGAGAAAGTGCAGATGAGGGTGACAGGTGGATGGATGGATGGATGGATGATGGTGGTAGCGGGTAGGATGGGCCAAGTGGCACTAGGACATGTTGATGGAAGTGACGGATATGCCAGGTCACGACAATACTATTGTATCTACTTTGTATATACATGTTTATTACAAGGCAATTATATGATATGTAAGTGGAAAATAAGGGGTGGGGTTACCACTCCTTACACCATGTGGATGAACAAGGCATCCATGCCCAAGCGGATAAAATGGAAAAAATCTGCAACTGGCAAGAGCCAGTAGACCACACAGGAGTCTTACACTTCCTGGGGATGGTAGAATATCTATTGATATTCATGCCAAACGTCAGTGGCTACACAGGGCCACTGCAAACAATCTGCTTGAACAAGCAGATATTCAGGTGGACCCCACTCCACCAGAAATGCTTTGATGAGATAAAACATCTTGCATGCAGGGCTCCAATTCTGAAGCCTGTCCAGTGGAATCCACCAGAAAACCTCTCGATAGAAGAGAGGGACAAACTCCATGTCTGGGTCATAACAGACACATGCCCAGCGGGCATGGGTGCACTAATTGGACAAGGCAAAAAGTGGCAAACTTGCCACCCTGCTGCGTTTATGTCCAAAAAGTTGACAAACACTCAGCATAGGTATTTTGCCTACGAACTCAAGGAACTTGGAGTCCTTGAGGCACTCATGAGTGGCAAGACGATCTCATGGGAGGCCATGAATTCACAGTAATCATGGATCATAAAGCTTTGGAATATTTCAAAGCGAAAAACCACAACTCAGGAAGACACCTGAGATGGCAAGCTTTCTTTGCAAGCTTCAATTGTGAAATAAAATATGTGGAAGGCCACAAAAACAAAGTGGCAGATGCACTTTCACATTACTATGACTCGTCAACTGATGAGGATCTGCATTTCAATGACTATGTGTCAGCAGATATCCACCTGGATAAAAATGCAGAAGACATCATCCCCAACAGAGTTGAGGAGTATGAGGAACTGCTGCTAAGCAGCACTCTGAGTGAAAACTCAGAGAAAAAGAGACTTGCAGCAATATGTGTGAGTAATAACCTAGAGGAAGCTCTAGGGTGGAGCGACAATGTGAGGTCTCAGTGGGGTTTGTCATATCCATACAATCCCGACCTCCGCTCCGGGCTCCTGGAACTCCGAACTCCGACTTCCGGAGCCCTACTTCCCTTCCGTCACCTTCTCCTTGCCGACTCCCAAGAGGTTATCCCACCTCCGGCTCGGACACCACCTTCGGTCCGACTCCAGAACATTCCGGGTCCAACCCCAACCTCGACACCTTCCAGATGAGTACGCAAAACCTATGCCCCTGACTCCGGACCTCCGCTCCGGTATCCCGTTCACGTCTCGTCTCCGGAACCTCCGGTCTTAGCTCCGACCTCGGACTTTGACCCCACCTCCGCTTATACCCATTGTATTGGTTAGCCCATTCCATTTAATTACCTTTGCCAATATTCCGGAGTTTAACCTCCGAGTTCGGACTTTCCGGACTTACTCCGGACCTTGCAACTATTGCATTGTCCATTTCAATTCCGCTATTCTCCCTCATTCCTATTTGGGCTGCTGCTTCCTTCTATTCAGTCAGCTAGCCATTCCTGACTCCCATCCTCCTTCCTTCCTTCTTGGGCCTTGGCCCTTCATTCCTCCTTTGGGAAACACCATTGAGTCAAACACTTGACCCTCGGTGTTGTTCCTCTTTCCATCTCCCTTTGTCTCCTTTTGTCCTACCCTTGTTCCTTTTGATTCCGGACCCCTCCTTATATACAATGTACCTAGTAACTTGTAACCTCAGTCTGAAATCGACATGAATTCCCCCAAGAGACTTTCCCTCTGCTAGATCCGAAATTAGGGACCCCTAGGACAACCAGCAATGGCACAGCGCTCCGCCTGAGTCGCTGAGGCCAAGGTCCTTCCACGCTAAGTCTCCGATTCCATTCCGGAGTCGTCCGAGTCCGCCAATTCTAACAGGGTTGCTCAGCACACGAGGCCATATGTGATACAATGGTGTGTATATTATGGTGTGTGTAAGCGGTTAACCAGAAGTTACCGCTTCCCCATGTGACTATATGTACATCGTAATTACATATGGCTTGTGTTAGAACTTGCGGATTTGGATGACTCCGGAGTGGAATCGGAGACTTAGCGTGGAAGGACCTCGGCCTCAGCAACTCAGGCGGAGCGCTGTGCCATTGCTGGTTGTCCTAGGGGTCCCTAATTTCGGATCTAGCAGAGGGAAAGTCTCTTGGGGGAATTCAGGTCGATTTCGGACTGGGGTTACAAGTTACTAGGTACATTGTATATAAGGAGGGGTCCGGAATCAAAAGGAACAAGGGTAAGACGAAAGGAGACAAAGGGAGATGGAAAGAGGAACAACACCGAGGGTCAAGGGTTTGACTCAATGGTGTTTCTCAAAGGAGGAATGAAGGGCCAAGGCCCAAGGAGGAAGGAAGGAGGTTGGGAGTGGGGAGTGGCTAGCTGACTGAATAGAAAGGAAGCAGCAGCCCAAATAGGAATGAGGGAGTATAGCAGAATTGAATGGAGCAATGCAATAGTTGCAAGGTCCGAGGTAAGTCTGGAAAGTCCGAACTCGGAAGTTAAACTCCGGAATATTGGCAAACGTAATTAAATGGAATGAGCTAACCAATACAATGGGTATAAGCGGAGGTGGGGTCAAAGTCTGAGGTTGGAGCTAAGACCGGAGGTTCCGGAGACAGGGACGCGAACAGGATTCCGGAGCGAGGCCCGGAGTCAGGAGCATAGGTGTTGCATACTCGCCTGGAAGGTGTCAAGGTTGGGGTTGGACCCGGAATGTTCCGGAGTCGGACCGAAGGTGTTGTCAGAGCCGGAGGTGGGATAACCTCTTGGGAGTCGGCAAGGAGGAGGTGGCAGAAGGGAAGTAGGACTCCGGAAGTCAGGTTCGGAGTTC